GACTATCCATTCTTCTATATATGCATTTATCTGTCCGATTGTCCGTCCATCCATCCATCCATCCATCCATCCATCCATCCATCCATCGATCGATCGATCGATCGATCGATCGATCGATCGATCCATCCATCCATCCATCCATCCATCCATCCATCCATCCATCCATCCATCCATCCATCCATCCATCCATCCATCCATCCATCCATCCATCCATCCATCTAAATATCTCAGTCCTCTTCCATCCAAATAGTCTATCCATCCATTATTTCATCAACAGACATGCAATGTCAGAAGTCCAGACTCGGCTAACGTGGGTAAGTGAGAAAGCCTGCCAGTAGCTTCTCGTGGGTCGGTGGTTCTTCCCTAGGTTTTCCAGGGTTCATCCTCCACATCACTATAAACTACCACACTGCAGACATCGTAGCGATATGACTGAAAAATTGTTACAGCTGCGTTAAAATTTATATACACCACACCACCACCAACAGTGGCTATAATTAGCCATACTCGTGCAATTTTTCTTTTAATTATAAATCGAAGAACAGGTAATGTAGTTATCAATAATTATCAATTACTTTGCAAAGTGTATTATAAATTGAACTGTAAACACGAATCACAGATAATGTAGTATCGATGATTATTACTTTGCAAACTCTGTTATCATTAATACTGTAACTGTGATTATGAAGGACATGCTACTCATATTGATAACTAACGTGTTGCTCAACGAGACAAAAGCAGGTATATTTAATTTCATTATACGCATCCTGAAACTCTTAGGAAAACCAGATTGAGAGTGAAAATATGAAATACGTTGCACTATAGTCGATAAGGTCAACGTTACCTCAGTGTGCCATGTGCATTATATTGGGCTTTGTACTTGCAATAAAACTGAAACGTATCCTGTTTTTTCCAATCTCTAGAATATTGATCCTTTCCAAAATCAGTGTCAAATGCACAATCAATATTAAATAGGAATCTTTACAAGAAGAATAGTTGTGATACAAATATTACTTCTCCTTTTTTCAAGACAATGCCCAGACAAGTCTTTAGTTACATATACATCATTCACTTTTAACAGTGGCAGTTCGGTATTCGTACCATGATATAAATGGATTTAATGTATTACGTATATATCTTTACTTTATCTGCATCCGACATTTGTGTTACTGTCGCCAGTTTCTAAGATATTTATAAGTGTTTATTCTTTACAATGTTACCGTTCATATTACACGTATGGTTTTCATTCATTACAATGTTACCGTTCATATTACACGTATGGTATTCGTTCTTTACAATGCTCCCGTTTATCGTATACGTATGGTGTTCATCATTTACAATGTTTATTTTGATAGTATACGTATGATATTCATTCTTTACAATGTTACCTTTGATAGTTTACGTGTGGTGTTCATTCTGTACAATGTTATGGTTTATTGTGTTCATTTTTTATATTGCTGTTGATAAGATCTATACAAATTATGTATGTTCTCATCAATGAAGTTTCTTACCCAAAATATTCTCCAAAAATGTCAAAATACACTTTATAATTCAGTACAGTGAGGGTGTTTATAGATTGATCATTTTACAATCCATTATAATAAGGGGCTTTCAAGACAAATTCCTCTTTATATGCAATATAATTAGGGTCGTTCTAATCAGTCAACTACACAATGCGGAATACTGAGGTACTCCCATTTTAAAGACCACCTTACAACTTTACTGTAAAGAGGTGTCAAAGACCACATTATACCGTTGGGTTTATAGGCAAACACCACATTGCAATACAGTATACCGATTGGATTACTAATCAAAAACTAGTTTACAATGGAATAGACTTAGGTGTTTTTAGTCAGTGGTCACCTTACAACGCAGTATGCTGTGGGCATTTATAGTTATAGTCCACTTTACCTGCAGAATGAGGGGCATTCTTGTCAGAGATCTGTATACATGGAAGTGTACTACTGAATGCGTACGCATCATGCATGAACAACTGTAGGTTAATGCAAACCAGCCTTCACTTCCCTAGGACTGTTTCAGGAGTGCTATCAGGTCTCACGTCAATTTGTCAGGCAATGCGTATGAGTGGCTGTTCAAGTAGTGTAAACGAATCAAATAACCGTAAAGCTCATTATTAAATTTAATACTACCGATAATGCATTCTTATCTACCTTACTGCTTGAGTTTATTAATTTTTGGCTTGAGTTTATTAAGTTTTGGCTTGAGTTTATTAATTTTTTTTCTATTTTATGTACGTGAAATTGTTTAAGATAAACATTTTAAAATCATTCGTTTTACTTAGATGAATATTGCTTGATTTGTACCATTACTAAGCGTTAAATATCTTGATATATTTTCTTCAAATTCTGAAATTTGCTTATTTCATTCCTTACAATTTAAACAAATTCCTATATAAAGATTACGATAGCAAGTTTTGTATTTTTTGGAAAGTGTACGATTTATATATTACTCTTTTTTTGTTTATTTAATTATTTTATAAAAGTAGCTCATAACTTCTCACGGACAGAGATATTAGACACTTTTCATAAACTGGGTGACACATCTTCCCCCCCAAAACACATTGCGCTGTATTACCAATTATCAAACCAACTTTCATAGAGTTTCTTTTTTCTTTTTTTTCTTCCAATAATGTGCCAAGTTCTTCTGGAACATACTACCACATCGTGTGAACTATATACATGTGGTGGGACGTCCAATGGCAGCTAAAACAGGTTAAAAAACATTCCTCGTCTGGAGTTTCCCATGCAAACGTTAGCTCTAAAAGCATACATGGGATCGGCGTTTACTATGTGGCTGGTAGGGATTTCCGTAGGCGGATTTCTAATGGGAAGATGTTTTCATCGACTCTGGTGAAGGGGAATGATAAATCTGCATAAATGTCCTTCATTGTAGAATTCTGTTTGTTGGAAGTTTGATGCTGTAAGAATGTCAACTAGTTGGTGTACAGTCTGGTACATGATACCAGATACTATATGTTGGCTTGAAGCTCTTCCCATCCGAAATGTTTGAGCATGGTGGAGACTATATTAATATTGTTCCTGTGTAGTGTCCTTGATTAGCAAATGTCGGACAAGTTGTTCTGACTTCTCCTGGATCATTATATAATCCTCGAGTGAATTTAAACTGCTCCCAACATTAATGCTCACATAACAACGTTCTGTAACGCTTCTTACATGTCCCAGTGTCCATATATCTCGTTTTGAATTCAATTTTAGAAGCCTTTTCTTATCAGTGTCTGAAACAAACCCAGCAAATAATCAATAATTGAAAATAAAAAAACAATTTCAATCTGATCACGTAAATAACAAATCAGTTGTAAAGTGTTAGTTTTTTTTTTTTTGCCTGTAGCTTTATGTGACTGAAGTGCTGAAACAAAAATCCGATCGACTATGGCAAACAAAACCCAGCCAAGGTAAATAGCTTTTCATGCAGTGCATTTGGTGCAAGATGTCATTTTTATAAGACATTGCCGGTCGTAAAGTATATACAACTCATGCATTCATTTAAATCTTTAGCTATAAGTCACAGCAACCTTGATCTTTTGACCCAAAACGAGAGACATTATACATTACCGAGTGTGCCAGAAATCCACATAGTTTGTTAATTGTAGTTGGTAGACGTTTTCAGCGGTTGAGTGTAAGCTAATTGGTGACACCGACGGAAAGGTATATGACAGACGAACGGACATTATAACATAATGCACTCTGCCTTAAATAGGGTGCAAAAAATGCATCTTGCTGCATACTTTTTGCTTTTGACTGTTCAATGAATAATTTTATTAAAGTTGCAAAATTGGCTTAGATATAGTGCAAATATATATTTTCCCCAAATGATCTTAGACTAACAATAATTCTTTACCTACCTACCTACCTACCTACCTACCTACCTACCTACCTACCTATCTATCTATCTATCTATCTATCTATCTATCTATCTATCTATCTATCTATCTATCTATCTATCTATCTATCTATCTATCTATCTATCTATCTATCTATCTATCTATCTATCTATCTATCCTTCAAATTATCATATTATTATCCAAGGCAACCTTTCTGAATTCAATATAATTCCAAATTCATGTTTCTGTACAATAATACTATTAATCACTCTGTAATTCCAGAGAAAATAATTTTGAATAAATAATCCACCAAACCTAAACCTGAACGGATCAACACATATGCTTGCAGCATAGACGTTTTCGCAAGAACGAAGATTTTGAAGCAAAAAATACCTTAGAAGAAATCACGAGAAAAAGGTAGAGCCAGGATGAAGGCCCAGAGTTCATTTCTAGAAAATTCTAAGTTACAAACATAAAATATGTTACTAAAATTATAAAGAAGAAAATGAGTTGACTTTATTTATTATATTCACAATACCCAACTCACACTTCTAATGAAATATAAAATGTATATTATTTGTTTACAAAATAGAAACAACATCACTGTCCAAAGGGGTGGTAGATAGCAAACTTGATTGGACAAGGTAATGTCCAAAATAAAATTATACAGAACCTATAATCGTGAAAAAAGAAAAGTAACAAATGCAGATTAAATATAATTAACACATCCAATTGTGTTCCATTCTCTAGTCGTACGTAGTAAATTTTTCCGAGGAAAATAATAGCATTTGTATTCCTGCCCTAATTCAAGGCATTCTAGTATTAGAAGAAAACAAAGAAACAAACAAATAAAAAATCTTATAAAAGAAACAAACTGCCAAAAACAACAAAACCAAAAGAGAAAAAAAAACAACAAAACAAAACGATGCAAAGCGAATTTTGAAATCCATTTGTTCTAGAAACGCTAGTGTCTATTCTCATTGATGAATTCATCGAAATACGGTTCAAAGCCTGTATAATTAAAACCTATTTGCCTGTCAAACATCTGTTACTTGTTTAATTCCTTAGGAAAGATAGGAATTATGCTTAATGGATTGCAAAAGTTTATTTCTCAACGAATCGTTGAAGTTTACTCAACTGCCCCGTGGCCTAGTGATTAATGTGTCTGCCTCGGATGCGGGAGGTCGTGGGTTCTATCCCCGGTCGAGACATACCAAAGACTTACAAAAATGGTACTAACAGCTGCCTCATTTTGCTCTCAGCATTAAGAGGATAGTGTTAGGACTGGTCGGCCTGGTGTTAGGATAATATGACTGGGTGGGACATCATGCTACATATCTGCGGCATGATGCACCAGTTCTAGACATCACTGTAAATTGCCACACTGCAGGCATCGTAGGGATATGACTAAAAATTGTTAAAGCTACGTTAACTATCATAATCACATCACATCGAAGTTAACTCTTGCGTACACCCTCGTCTACGTTCATTGTTTATGTTAGTAGATCTGGAGCATGGAAAAGAATTAACTAAAGACATCGTAACAAATAAGCGCTTTAACAACGGAAACATTACATTGTATTATGAAATCTGAAATTTGAATAGCTTTTTTTCTTTTTCGTTTTTAACATAAAACAGTGATCAGAAACGTTTTTATATTTGTTATCGACGTTTACCGCTTCATTTGAGTGTTCATAAATTGAGATTCGACTTTCGCTGAAACCAGACAAATAAAGCAAATAAAAAGTACAACCTCCCACACAAAAGTAACAAACAAAGCAAGACAATATGATCTTAACATTGACAATCCATACTATTAAAGTCAACACATTTTATTCACTACTACTGCATCGTCTAATGCTGCTTCTGTGTGAAATGAATAGAGGATAAAAGGTAGTAGAACCAGGATTATCGTAGAAAAATAATATTCGCTAAATAACGAAATAAATGCCAATCAAACATATGAAGACAAATATAAGCACAATCGAGCTTCATACAAATTAATAGAGTGAAGAAACTGAGAACTGTATTGATTATAAATGACATTCTGAAACCATGCCAATAATACGACGAAATATTGGTTGTCATTGTTGTTTAGTCACATTGGTTAAAATGCAAAGCTTTGTAATTGTTATGAGAGGTTAATGAGCCGGATAAAATGATATTATTATTCTAGTTAATCGATTTGGCTGTATAGTTTATAATTCGATCGATATATACTTTGTGAATTCAGGAAATGTTCTACATGGAAAGGATCAATAATAGAGATGATTTGTTATTGGAAAACATCTTCCTCATCCAAATTGTGTAACGTAAATGGATTGATAAAAGTATCATGCTATTTTGTTTTACAAAAGTGAATTTAAGTATTTTAGAAAATATTTGGATTTTCAATTTTTGGAATTACGGTAATTGTGCATTGTTTTAACTTGTTTGACCTATTAATTATTTAAAAGTTCCAGCTGAATCTTCAGTGTAGTATATATGACGATGGTAGATCTCTGATGGGTTGAAGCTTATTTGTACAAAGGCCATCAATGTTACAGGGACTAAACTTTCAAATGTACTTCGGTGTTCATTGTGTTACGCCATCTCGATGATCAGTTTACTTTCAGGGATCTGTCATTGAATAAATTAAGTGCTAAATGTGCCATGTTTGGTCTTTTTAAGATTTTAAGAGTGTATAGCATTTTTATCTTCCAAAACGTAAAGCGGTAATTTTGATGTTTTATGTTTCAACCATGTTGATCAACAGATTGAAAGAATAAAGTTAGAAATTCCGGATAATTGAACAGTTTTGTATAAGCGACATGCGCATATGTTAGTATTCATATTCTCATTATGCTGTCGTTATTTGCTACTCTATGTGGAATATAAAACCTTCCCGAATAATGGGGGCCTGAATTCAAAGTTTATCTATGAAAGTGCCGACATTTGATATGCAATTCGTGATTCATTCAGTGTCTGGAAGGATTATGTCTCACGATTGGGATAGGTATTTACGTGCAGAGACATAACGGAATTCCTTTCTGTCTGAAGACAATTATGTCTTGGGAAGTCTCTATTTTATGCTTAATAGCAGACAAGTTCAATATCCTAAAAAGCTCTGTCAGCGATATTAGCAACAAACAGACGTTTGGCTCAACAGCAACATTTAAACCAATTTCTATTATGACGGGAAATTGCTTGCAGATTCTGAACTTTTAAGACAATTCCTGGGTTTTAGATATTTGCTGAGACTGCAGAATAATCATTCTGACCTTGATAAGCATTAAAGAATTTTGTAAACGTACCAAAATTAAAACTTCTTGCCCATCCTTTATATCGCAAGAAATACAATACAAGACTATTGGTTTATCATCGGAATATGGATTTTGTTAGACATGCGTATTTGCAATACAGATGTTAATTGATATGTAGCAAAGGATACTGTCCTATTTTGAGGCATAAAAATTAAAGATGTATGAACATATTTCGAAACATAAGAATAGATCTGGTAACAATTAAGGAGACACTCTTTGCGGGCTATTGAGGATCATAAGAATTGAAAAAAATTGCAAAGTTATTTTAGAGATAGATAATGGAAGCCGTCCATCTCGCTGCAGACACACGAATCAAACTGACAGGCATCAATTTCAGTCTTTTATACATAGAATCTTCTGCAATGTCGGGTTTGACCAAGATGCATATAAACCATCCATCCATCCATCGATCCATCCAAAAATCGAACGACCCATTCATCCATACATTCATCCATTTTTCACTGTCGATAAGCTGTTCAAAATGAGTCTGATTACCCAGCAGCAATTTGTTCTGACCTAGAGCCTCAAATATATTTATCTCATGCACCAATTCTGAGTACCCAGCATGTTGATGTTACAACATAGAATGACAATGTTTCATTACGAAATACTAACCTAGACGGATTGAAACTTATTTCACATGCTGAAGAAATAAACCAGACACTGGCAAGTATGTCAAAACATTTTGATCAGTTTATAGAGAAATTAGCTCAATAATTAATGGATGGAATAAGCATCGTGTGGTAAAGCTGTTGTCGAAGAAAGTGAATAAAAACATACAATTTTATGGAAGAGTCGCGTGTGGGAAATAAAGAACTGTCGAAAATTACCCCCACTCAAAGAAATCATAAATGAACTGCAAAGAAGCAATCAAATGGCCAAAGAAGACCATATTGAGAGTAAGGAGAAAATATCAGAAGAAAAGTTTGAAACTTTACAGTGTGAGAGAAGGTACATTCTACTTGGGAAAATGTACAGAAATATTAGAGATTGAAGTTAATCTATATTGATCCATTTGCGATCAATGCCACATATTGGAATTTATCCAAACAACGGTTGTCACACAACCAGTAACCATAAAATTAATGTGAAAGATGTCAGGGAAGGATATCAGTCAGAAGAAAGATGGGTCATGGAATATTCGACCTCCCAATGAGGACATGAAATTCAATCATTGTTTATGTTGCATATATTAATCCGGCGCTATTAAAAGGACTGCGAAATCATCAGATTATCTACTTGGCATGATGCTTCAATGGAACGTATAATGGAAGGGCCAAAGAAAACAGAAAAGAAGATACATTTGTGAGCTTAGATCGCAAAGGTGAAAGACCCGTAGCTACAAAATATAAATAATATAACATATAGTATTATTGTTCCGAATACTGTGCCAGTCTCAGGATGGATGAATGGATGGATGGATGGATGGATGGATGGATGGATGGATGGATGGATGGATGGATGGATATAAATATATATATTTATATATATATGTCTGGTATATATAAATATATATACATATATATACATAAAAATACTCATATATATAATTTACAAAGAAAAAAGCACATTAATTGAATTGGAACAAGGTTTGATTTTGTTATGATTCCTAACCGTCATGGGTTATGGACCAGATTATTGAGCTGTACATATTACATCTAATGCTTTAAAGCATATGTTAGGTCATCACTTAGGAATTATTTTCTATTTTAAATAATTTAAATCGTTAACCTTGTTAGAAAAAGGCTATTACTTGGAACAGATCAAAATGGTGTAACAGATCCGTTCAGCATAAGTGTAATTTTATATTCTGATTATCAACTTAATGTCAATGGTTAACTTTTTCTGGAAATGTTGCTGATAAAAATAAATAGTAAATGTATTTTCTATTATTTTTATAAAATAAAAACAAAAGGAAATATGGAACATAACGGAAGACTTTTTGCAGTTTTATAGTAGTGAACTACATGATTACATGATAAATAAAAGTTAAGTAATGAGAAAATAATAAAATCAAAAAGAAAGTGAGTTGTTGGAAATCTGACAGGAAAAAAAGAACGTGCCAGAATATGAACGCAATTAAGATAGGTTATGTTTTAAATTATGTCCTAATGTTATGTGCTTGATAGCACTCTGTCATGCTTAATCAATATTGCGTATAATTATCAACAACATATTTTACAGATAATTCATGATAACTAAACTGTCGATGAAAAATAAAAACTACTTTTGTGAGATGCTTTAGCTGGTGTTTTGATGATATCTAATCTTAGGATACATCCTTATTAAATGGCAAATTGATTTGTTTAGGACGTCAAGTGTAATATCCTGCCAAGTACGGTTCTCCATTAGGGTGTCCTGATATTAATTTTGTTAACATCAATTCACTATTGGCATAACTTGGTTCCATCAACATGAGAGCAAATAACACTTTGTACAACCATTTGTCTCTGACATATAGTTATAATAAAACGGGAAAGGTATCACATTTGACAAAATTTGTGTAATTTATTATGATGTTTGAAGCATTCTGAAATTTCTGTAAGCACATTTTTATTGGTCTGTACTTTATGGTTTTGGTGAATGACTCGGTACTAATTCAGTTTCGATTGTAAACCTATGCAAACACCATGATATTAAAAATTCAATAACTTTAAATTTTTGATTGCTCATTATCAAATTTAAATCTATCAGCTTAGACGCAACCTGGATGATAGTTTCTCTGTAGAGGAAAGGAATATGAGCCGTGGCATGTTTTGGACTTACATGTATTTGAAAAATTTGGTTTCAATTGCAAACGAAACAATCGGGTGTTAATTTTAGTATTGAGTGTTCCAAACGCAATACTGTTAAAGGATTAAAATGATTACATTCTTTCAGTTACAATTAGGAGAAGCTATCAAAAAATTC